TTCTGCTATTAATACACATTTTTTTTGTAGTGGGCCATTTTTTTCCATCATTCTTGGCATATTATTAAAATAGATTTGGTAGATTTGGTAAATGATTTCTTGGACACGGGTGTACTTGATCCAAGATTAAATATTACTCATATTTGTATGATCCCAAAGATGGAGAGACCTACACGGATGACGGAACTCAGACCGATAAGTCTTTGGAACGTAAGGTATAAGATTATATCAAAGGTTTTATGTCAGCGACTAAAAAGCTACCTTCCAAGACTTATCTCGGAAACTCAATTGGCATTTGTTGCGGGTAGGTTAATATCGGATAACATCCTTGTAGCTCATGAGATGTTTCATGGCTTAAGAACTAATAAATCTTGTCAAAGAAAATTTATGGCAATTAAAACGTATATGAGTAAAGCGTATGATAGGGTAGAATGAGATTTTATTCGGGCCCTACTACATAAAATGGGTTTCGACCCTCACTGGATTTCCGTAATAATGGAGTGTATCTCGTCAGTGCAGTACCGGGTCTTACTGAATGGCCAGCCACGGGGACAGATTTTTCCACATAGAGGGTTACGACAAGGGGACCCTTTGTCTCCATACTTATTTATCATGTGTACGGAGACGTCACGAGAGAAACAATTAATGGGAATGAAGATAGCCAGAGCTTGCCCCTTGATCTCTCATTTACTTTTTGTGGATGATAGTCTTTTCTTCTGCAAGGCACAAGGAGATGAGTGTAGGACCATTATCAGGATCCTTAAGGAATATAAGGCTGTATCGGGTCAACGGCTTAATTTCCAAAAATCTTCAATTCATTTTGGACATAAGATTGAGGAATCTGATTGTGAGGAGTTGAGGGATATTATAGGAATACATAATTTAGGGGGAATGGGATCTTATTTGGGTTTACTATAGAGTCTCGGAGGATCTAAAATACAAGTATTTGGGTTTGTCCATGATCATTTAAATAACAGGGTCAGTGGCTGGACTTTACTCCAAGGGTGGATAGGAAGTAATAATCAAATCAGTTATCACGGTTTTACCAAATCACATGATGTCTTGTTATCGCATCCCAAAGACAACAATAAAGAAGCTGACGAGTGCGGTTGCACAATTTTGGTGGAGCCCAGGGAGAGCACGAAGGGAATGCACTGGAAATCATGAGATAAACTATGTGTTAATAAGGAGGTCGGAGGTCTGGGATTGAAAGACCTAAATTATTTTAACACGGCTATGTTAGGCAAGCAATTATGGCGTCTCATAGACAAACCACATACTTTTTTTTCTCGAGTTTTCAAAGGTTGGTATTTCAGGAACGCTTCACCCCTGGATCCGATACACTCATACTCCCTGTCATATGGCTGGAGGAGTATGATTTCTGCTAGATCTCTGGTTATCAAATGACTAATCAAAAATGTGGGATCAGGATCATCCATTTCTGTATGGAATGATCCTTAGCTCCCAACCACTCACCCGAGACCAAAAAATAAAAATCAACGAACTTTGATCTGAAGCTTACAGTGGATTCTCTCATCAGCACAGATGGAATATCGGGATGGATGTCATTCCACACACAATGGAAAGTACACGGTTCAGTCTGGATACCAAGTGGAACGGATATACCCAGATAATGGAAGATCAACCGCAATGTTGGGACCTACAGTCAATCTATTGAAGGCACATTGCTGGAAGGTTCGGTGTCCACCAAAGATAAAGCATTTCTTATGGCAGTTGGTATCGGGATGTATAGCTATTAAGAAAAATCTGAAAGTAAGAGGGATGCAAGGAGACACCTGATGTGTTAGATGTGGAGCTGAGGAAGAATCGATCAATCATGTTTTCTTTGAATGTCCCCCAGCACGTCATGTCTGGGCGTTATCAAAGATACCATCTAATCCAGCTATTTTTCCTACCTCCTCTATTTTCACAAACATGGATCACTTGTTTTGGCGACTCTTTCGGAAAATGGATGATCATACCTTTGCATGGATATTGTGGTACATTTGGAAAAGCAGGAATATGAAGACTTTTATTAATCTGGATATTGACCCAAGAGATACAATGAAACTCGCAGAAACAAAATCCAAGCTCAGGTGGAGCATAGATAGAGGGTGCCAACTCATGGAGAGGCTGCAGACATACCATCCATTCCAGGCCGCTGGTGTTATACGGATGGGTGATGGACTGATGGGGGTAAGGAATGTAAGGGCTAGTCTCTCGCCTTCTACATTCTGAGGTGGAAGCGTTACTTTGGGCGATGGAATGTAAGAGGAATTTGATAATGCTATTCTTTCATGATATTTCTTCATTCAAGTCAAATGGATCTTCTTAAGAGTCAAATCCAACGGCTGAAATCGAATGGGATAATGTTTCGCGTAAGAGAGACAGCTAGACCAATATGATACATCGTCAACCGTCGAGTTCGGTAAAGCGCCATAGCACGTTCAAAGTCAATCCCTCTTTTCAATGTTTATAAGCTAACACATTCAACTTTTAGTTTTTCACTTATTGGTGACTAAATTTTAATTATTTCAATTTTGTCCAACACTGGTACATCGACTGGTTTATAATATTCAGTTGTTAATCTTTGGATGAATATATAAATATATATTGTTACCGAGAGAAAACTTAGAGTTTTTTTCTTTCATTTGGATATTAGGTGATAATGCACCAAATTTTTTGTTGTTCATACGAATTCAGATGTCCATATGAATTCAGAATTACAGTTTGATTCACAAAATTTACATGAGTTTCTTTTGTTGCTGACAAAAATAAACATTTCATATATTTTAGTTACATAGTATGAATGGGTAAATAGAAACATTCTGTTCAATCCTTTTTCAAGTTACTGTATAAAGTTCTCTATTTTTTAGAAAAAATTGCTTAAACTTTTTAAAATGTCTGCCTAAGAGTTCTTGCTTGGTTATGTATTTGAATAACTTTAGCATGTGACAAAATATGGGAGAACAATTTACTGATATATGTCTTTTAAATGAACAAAAGTGATTTTGAGCATTTTAGACAAGTTTTAAATTTATCTTTATATTCTATGTTTATTTGCATTGCACAATTTTATCATGTAAACTTCTTATATAACAAATCATGATAAACGATTTCTAATAAATACATCATCAAAAATTATCTACAATTTAGTTGTAGTAAATACACATCATGTTCTTTACTTTTTTTTGGCAATTTTTTTTATAGCATGCCTAGTAAATTGTAACATCATGTTTTTTTTGTGATATGTATAAAAATCTGAAAATGATTTGACTACATTTATCACCAAATTGCATCAATCTTTCTGAACACACATATAGAGAGAATTCTATAGTTAGCTGTATTAGTGAAAAGAAGAGTGATCTATCAGAAAGTGATTTGCGATATCATTTGAATGAGACCAAAATACAGAGAAATTCATGTGGTGTTAATAGATTCAGTAAATAAGATTTTCAAGTTTATAAAAAATTAGTGTACCGTCATCCACCACAAAAAATGGAGACCATATGTCGAGTGAGTAGATAATAAGTTACAATTCATATTAGGATGGAACCCAGACAAGTGTGAAATCGTACGAAGGCTCACAAGAACATGGATGATGATCTTGGGACATAACGAAGACATTGTGTTATTTGAGAGTGTGTAAATTGTAATACCCTAATTTGTGGCATATGTTAAAAGTTTTAAGAGAAACGATTGAACTACGTATATCACCAAAGTGTACTTAATTTTCGAACACACATCTAGCAAAAATTCTAGACTTAAGCGTGATTGAATTTGAATATTGGAAATATGGATGATCTATCATGAAATGATTTATAATACCATAGGTGAGTGAGGCTAAAACACAGAGAAAAATCGTTACAGAATTAGTAAATAAGATGTTTAAACCTTGGACAAATTAGCATACCATCTTTCACACGAAGTGGGTTTACGGGCTGAGTGGATGGATACGGAAATCTCATTAATTGTAAACGAGCAAGACGTTATTAAAAAAAATTTAGATGTCATTTATCTAATATACACATCATATGAAAAATATATTTTGAACCATAAAAGAAGGTGTTATAATATGTCATACCAATGGATACCTTTTTTCATTTCTCGCAATCTAGCTGTTTGCCTAATTAACTCTTATTGTGTTAGATTTATCATGTTGTAAGTAGAAAAAACATGTCAAATTTATATAAATTGAATATGTATGCTCATAACATGAAGGCGACGCTTTAGAGTAGATAGAAAAGGAAAACGTGAGGGGGAAAAAGGAAAATAAAAGAGAAGATGTGTTGAAACTTGAAACCTGAGTTGTGATTCTCCTGGTATCAAGTATAACCTCCCTTTTTACGTATAGTTCTATATTTAGACACAATCTTTTACTTTCCAATCTTTTTCCCCCCAACCCCACAGACAAAAAAACAAGGAAGAAGAAGAAGATTCATTTCCATTACTTGTTTGGTCAAATAATCTCTTCTCTTCTCTCTCTCTCTCTCTTTCTCTAATCCTCACGCCGCGCATTTATTTCGTTCCCTCCATAAAAATCACAATCCATCCTTCCGTTACAAGTTTGATTTTCCTTTTTGGATTTTCATGTTTGAATTTTCATTAAATTAAAATAAAAAAGGAAAAACAATTCCCCAGGACAGGAGCATTGATTGATTTTGCTGGAGGAGGAGGAGGTATATCGTTACTAGATTCCTGAACCTAAGCCGTTTGATTCAGATGCTTTTTTTTCAATTCGTATCTAGAGCTGGAACCTTGAATTATTCCTACATATATACTCCTTCGATTTCAACTCAATTGGAAAACTAGGGTTTCGTTTTCAAAAATCACCCAAGGAGGAGTGGTTTATGAGGATCGTTAGATTCTTCACTTGAATTTTTTTTTTAAAGTTTTTAGAAATTGCGTTTCATCATCTATATTTTTCTTTCCTTTTGAAGGTATGCTAGTTATTGATGGTGTCTGAGAGGTGTTGTGTGGAGCCGATTTTTGATAGGGATATGAAGGTAGACGTGTTGGCTATTCATCGGGGAAACGGTGATAGAGATGATCTTTTAAGATACCCTAAGAAGATGGATGTGGAAGATGAATGTAAAAGTGAGGTCTTTAGGGATGGAGATGAGCACAATACTTTGGACATGATTCATAAAGTGAATACATCTTGCGTTGAGAGTAGAGAAGAAATAGGTACCCTGAAGAGGGATGTAAATGGTCAAGGGCAGATTGTGGTGGAAAGAGAAAGTAAGGATGGACATGAGTCTCCTAAGCAGTATGAGTCTTTGGTAAGGGTAAATAAGGATGCGGTGTTGGAGAGAGATAATGAAGAATCTAGTTCAGGTTCACCTGACCCAAATACTCTTGGTAGAGAGATTAAAGAACTTGATACGCAAGTGGCAAATGGTCATCTGAAGGTGGAGGATACAGGGAGGGATGAGAACAGGGTGTTGGAAAAGGACGCTGAAAACAATTTGGGTGTGATGCTGAGGGCTAAAGATGATGAACCGCAGAGTCTAAGATCTGAGACACAAACTGATGACAAAACTGTTAGAAATATGGAAAAGAGCCAAGTTACACGAGAGCAAGACTCTCCCTCGTGTGTTCCGGATGCAGTTAAAGCAGCTGGAGAGACATTTCAAAACGTATACTTTAATGGACCGGTCTTACCACAGTCACCATCACTAGGACATAAGCACGTCCAAAGTGAGATAGAGACTCCAGGACACAGGCGCACAAATAGTTTCCAGAGACTGAAAACTCAGATGCATAAAGCTTGGCGTGGGGTCAGCAATCTACACGAGGATAATCGTCCCACTTTCAATCCCGAGGTCTTGGCAAATCAAAAAAGACAGTGGTACCAGCTCCACTCTTCAAAAGATCTGGTATTTAATCTCTCTAGGGTGTACCTTTCAAACAAAGTCTTGGCTACAAGTTCCTCTTCCCCGTAATCATCTAAAACGTCTGCTCATAGCTGACTAATGTTTTAATTTGATAAACGCTCTAGGACCAAACTAAGGAACCAACCTCACTCTTTGAACATTTTATCATTGTGGGGCTTCATCCGGAAACTGAGTTGAAGCCAGTTGAGGAGGCCTTCCGTAGAAGGAAGAAATGGGAGATGGAGATGTCAAGGTATGAAGTGGCTGACTACAGAATACTCCGTCACCGTGGGCCTCAGTTTCCAGTATTGGAGCCACAGGTTTGTGTTTACTCTTTGAGTTCTCATAGTTTTGGGCATGCTTATATCTTTGACATGAGACACCTAAAATGATTGTTTTTTGGCTCATTGTCTACTTTGTTTGCCACTCTTTTATTTCCTATCTAATACATTCTCGCTTGCGGCTACTATTATATAGATGCCCCTGTTCTGCTCCATGGCAGATTTAATTGTTTATTTCTTTTCTATATCAACTTTTATTTTATGCGCAGATACTTTTTAAATACCCTCCTGGGAAGAAGGTGGCAATGCGTCCAAAAGATCTAGCAACTTTCTGCTTTCCTGGTGGTGTCAAGGTATGATATGCATGCTCCGTGTCTCTTTATATTTACTAAATGACCGTCAATGTGCGTTGGTATATTATTAGTTATGAGCCATATCAGTTAGTTAGAAATTTTACCCAGCATTGATTAATACTACTGGTAACAATATACGTGGTGTTAGATGGCATCATTATTCTGTGATTTATGAAGTAACTAAGACTGTTAACGTGACTTTCGTAACAGGCACGACTTTTGGAGAGGACCCCATCTCTCAGTGATCTAAATGAGCTTGTGTATGGACAGGTCCGAAAATAATTCTAAATATTTGTCTGAGCTTCTGTAATTCATCTTATTATTTGAATATATCTTGATACTTTTAAGTTTATTGCAGGAACATCTAGGAAAAGATGATTCATCATTCATATTTTCGTTCAAGGTAATCTATCTCTGTTCATGCCCCTTGACTGCTTTAGTGTCAGACATCCACTGGCCATGTAAAAACTTACACGAGGCTCTCAAAATTCTCGTTTTCAGGTAGCAGATGACGCGACATTGTATGGTGTTTGTTTACATGTCTCGGAGATTGTTCAGAGACCTCCTGGTGTTTTAAGCACAGCGTCACCCTTGCATTCATCTGGAGGAGGCAGTCGTTTTTTGGTATCTGCACCTCGATGCTATTGCTTGCTTACCAGAGTTCCTTTTTTTGAGCTACACTTTGAGATGTTAAACAGGTACAAAAGATGCCCCTACTCTTATTAGTGGCTTTTCCTTGCATTGACTAGAGATCGACGAACTTGAAAACTGATGGTGTTTTACTTGTTGATGCAGCATGATTGCACAGGAGCGCCTAAAACGGATAACCGATTTTGTTAGTGAGATGTCTCTCGCTGCTGCATGCCATAGCCCATCAGTTTCCAGATTTAATGGCTGTGTTTCTTCACCTCGTAGCAACCCTGATAATTGGATGGCTTCTGCGATACCTGTGGATGGAGTCATGGCACTCACGGCCGCTGCTGCTGGATTGATATCTGATAGTGACATTGAGAACTTTGCAGAACCGCAATCTCCAGATAGTGTCGTCACCAGTGATACTTCAGAGGTAAGTCATATCAAGGAAATAGAAAGAGATGGGAGAAAAGTTTTTCACTGCTACGAGGACAGTTCTTCTGAAGTATCTGAGAACCACTTGGATACCCCCGAAAGAAGGTTTCAAAGCTTTGAGAACGGCCATGTTTCTCCGGAGATTACATGTACCGATCCTAGGACCCAACCGATAGAGCATATTGAAAGCTGTGAGTCCGTGTTCAGGTAAGTTAACACAATTGATCTAACCTCTGCTTATCTCCCGGAATTTATGTTTTTTTGAAGTAGTGTTATGATTCAGTTCGTTACCAGTATAATTTCAGATTTTACCTTTTTTATATATGGCAGTTCAGCTAAAAGTGTGTTGTCGGATGAGGTTGATGATATATCGAACAGCGAAAATGATTTTGAAGATGACTTAGTTCTGGAATGGGCTAAGGTAAGGAGATCATTACTAGGTTAACCATTTAGTTGCTCTATATTATTTCAATGTTCATTGTTCTCATATACTGTTATATGGTTATCTCACCTTGATAGGAACATAACAATGATGCGTTACAATTAATCTGCGGCTACCATTCATTGGCAATTCCTTCCCGTGGAAGTGAAGTAGTTTTCCAGCCGCTGGAGCATTTGCAATCTATCCAGTATACACGGCCACCTGTTTCAGCTCTTGGATTGTCAGAAGAATATATCTGCTCTTCTGATTCTTCAGGGGTATACTTTTTTCTCGGAAATTATTCTTTTCTAGTCTTTCCTCTAGTTTGTAGTCTCATCTCAGGCAACTTTTGTATTATTCTTTGTGGAAGATAAATGCGAGGTTGGCAGCTGCTGAAGAGGCTATGGGTCTCTCAATGTGGACAACGGCAACAGTTTGCCGTATTCTCTCTCTTGAAACTGTACGGCCTCTTCACATCATTCTTTCTTATCTTTTGATCTTGTTAGAATCCTACTATCTTTGC